AAGTCCTTGGCGCTGCACCGGGGGGTGGATGGGACCTCGTAGGTTTTGTGGAAGTGGGAATAGTCTACTTTGTACTGGTTTTTCTCCTCGAACAAGACAGGCTCAAAGCGGTGGCCCCAAAGGATCTCGCTGGCCAGGTAGGAGCTCCGAGCTTGCGTCGTCATAGCGGTGGCTTCTACCATGCCTTCCAGGATGACCACGATCTCAAAGTCGTCTGTCTCCAAGTCCTGGCGGCTGATCCCAAACAAGGGGCTTTCTTCGTTGATCTCGTGGAGAATGGTGATGGGAGACACCAAAAAGATACGGTCCAAGCCTTTATCAAACCCTACGTCGATGTCTATTTGGTCAAGAGGTATGTACTCCCCTTCTTCTGTGATCCTGGGCTTAATTAGCTGAGCTCGTACGTGGGCTTCTACTATGTGGCTTTTCCGGAGGTTCCCAACTCTCCACATCAGGCAGAGTTTTCCATCTCGCATTGCCACTACTGCGTTATGGCTGAAAAGTAATGTCTGGGCCCGTTTTTTGGGCCTGGCCATCTTTGCCATTATTGCACCAATCATGAAAGAGTCAATTATACACCCCACGATGGATTGAACCACCACCATGAAGACGGCGAGCGGGCACTCCTCCGTCACACAGCGGAAGCCGTAACCAATAGTCGTTTGGGTCTCAATGGAGAACAGAAAAGCAGCCACAAAGCCATTGACCTGCAGAACGCAAGGCTTGAAGGTATCATCTCCCCCCGGGTTTTCTAGATCTCCATGAATGAGTGCAATTAGCCAGAAAATCAGCCCAAACAATAGCCAGGACACCAGAAATGCCAAGGAAAAGAGCAAGAGCATATACCTCCAGCGGATGTCAACGCACGTGGTGAACATGTCTGCAATGTACCTCTGTGGCTTGTCATCCATGTTGGTGAACTCCACGTTGCACTGACCGTTCTTCTTTACAAACCTGTTCCTGCATTTCCTCCTGGTGTGGATTTTCCCGTTGCCAAAGCCGTTGATACCAGGCATGGTGGTCAACCTCAGCCCGTCTTCCTCGGAGGACACGATGCTGTAAGGGTTGACTCTGCCTGTAGTCATCCCTGAGCCAAGCCCACGGTGAAGGCGACGGGTCTTGCGACTCCCGGCGTCCCCCTGGCCCACCCCTGCCCACCCCCCAAATCCTGTTGCAGTGGAAGAGAAGTCCCAAACTTCCACGTCTTGGCTGCCTCGTCACCACGTGGATCCCGTGAGAGGCTCTGCAATGAGAAAACAAAGGCATGGCCATTACTTCTCATGGGAAAGGGACCCGAGGCGGTGTTTGGCCGTGGGTCTCACAGTGTGGGTGGCTGCATGTTGAGTGAGGACCTCCCCTCCCCATTGCCCTTATTCTCCTTGCTAGGGCTAGGCTGTTCCCAAAACCCAGATGCGAGGAAGGAAGGAGAGTTTGTTCTTTTGTACCACAAAGCAAACCTAGCTGGGGAGACACAGCATTTGTGGGACCCTCAGCGACACCAGCAGATGGAAAACCTTGGGTAGCGCTGGAGTCTCTCCCCTTGGCTTTTCTCATGAGCTCTGCTGTCAGAGCGGGGTCAGGCTGCTGGAAGGGAAAGCAGAGAGGCCAAGCTGCTCTTCTTAGCACAGAGATATTAATAAAGGTACGCCTGAAAGCTGCTCCATCGGTTCACATTGCCCGTGCCAGATGGACCGATGCCCAGCACATCGCAGCAGCGCTCGCCCGACCTCCTGAGCACCAGCTCTTCTGGGGTCAAGGGAAACCACAGGGACATGTGGATTTAACCTCTGTCCCCCAGCCTGGGGATGGGAGAGGACACGGCCAACATGCAGCCGGTTGGAGAAGGCCAAGGGAAGGCACTCGCTTGGGGCAGATGTCCCGAGGAGCAACTTTCCCAACACATCCATTGGGACGTGGAACCATCTGTGGTCACAGATGGGTTTTGCTGGCCAAGTCTTCTGGAGGGACGGCTGCTGCTGGGGAACGGGGAGCTGTTTTGATCCCTTCTGGAGGGCTCAGCTGCAGGGTCAGTGACCTACACTCGGCTTTGCCTGGGAGAGAGGTGGGAGCAGCACGCACACGGGCGAGGTGGCCCAAGCCGGGTGGGCTCCCCGGTGGCACACAGGGCTCCATCAGCCCGGGATTGTGGAGAAACCATGCGGCACATCCCAAGCACCCTGAAAAGATGGCACTGCAGGCATGCTCCCCACACCACCCCTCCCTCCACGTCCACACGGGATGTGTCTTGGGGATGAAAACACCTTACTGGCAACGACACTCATGAGGGGCAGCAATGTGGGAGGAGGGGTACCAGGCGCAGAGCCCCCCCGTGACGCCCTGTCCCCGCAGCATAGAGATGCCCGGCTGGTGGCTGTTGGTGCAGGCGAGCCCGCCGGGCTGGACGTGCCGTGTCAGATCTGCTGGCCTGATCGATGCGAGTCGATTCCTGCAATCAGCTCCAGCGCCCGGGGACACGCTGGGACAAGAGCACCCTTTCCATTACACGGTGGCCGGCGCCAGGAAGCATTGCCAGGCACAGCCCGCCCAGGACTGCATCAGCTGGGCTAGCAGCGATACCCTGGATTGCTTTTAGCTAGCTTAAATTCCCCCAAAATTCTGGCACTTGAGGGTCCCTGCCCAGGGCCACAAGCAGGAGCAGTAACAACCTGTCCAAACTTCCCAGGCACTGCCACCATGTTATATGCAAAAAAAAAAAATTTTCATCTGCTGCAATCCAGGCACAAACATTTTTCTAGCCCCAAAGATGATTTTTCAAGCGCCACGCTCACTTGTCGGTGTGTTGCAGACCAAGTGAGCGCTCACACCCAGCTGGGTGACACAGGCACGGAGAAGAGTAAAACAGACACGAAGAGTTAATGTTAACAGTGAATATTTACAACCTCATAATCACTGGAAGTCAAATGGGACGAAAGTGGGGGTGACATGTCAGTCTGGCTGCAGGGTCATGCTGCCAAACTCCAGCCCGGTCACCCATCCCAAGTCTTCCCCTGGCCGCACCGGCTACATTCATTGAGGTTTTCTCTCCTCCAGCCGAGGGAATGCACCGAATGCTTTTACCGCAGGATGAATTTACTGTTGGGTTTTTTAAATTAATTCTAGATGCATTTGAGAAGTGAACAAAACGCAGTGAGCTCCCAGTGACCTGCGAGAGGATTAGCCGGGGTCTGGATTAACTGTGCTGGGAGGAGAGACGTGCCCGGGTGGCTGTGGAGGCAGCAGAGCTTCCCTCACAGGGGGGTCGCTCCCGGGGACCCTTGGGCTCCCCATCACCACCACCACTCCCCTTCAGCCTTCTCCCCACACCCTCCACCTTCCTCCTTTTCTGCATTCTCCATTTCTTCTTTTCTCTTTTCCTTCCTTCCTGCTCTTCATTTTCCCTCCTTCCTTCCTTCCTTCCTTCCTTCCTTCCTTCCTCCCTTTCCCTTTCCCTTTCCCTTTCCCTTTCCCTTTCCCGAGTACCCAGACATGGGGCGGATGCCGGGACAGACCCGAGGGGCTGATGCTGCTTTGAGGACAGGGCAGCTCTCGTGACAGAGCCCATGTCCCACATGGGACCCCACAATCACTGACACCATGGGACCAAG